AAATTGGCTCTGTAATAAATGACATCATCTTACCCCTTCTCTATATTACTATATAATGATTTAGATTTAAGTAATATTCAACAAAAAGGGTGAGACTTTTCAAGACCTCCATTTTCTGCAAATTGGTCCTGTTGTCTACTAGTATTAACTACTAAATGCCTTCAGAGTCAAGAGAGGGATAGAATACAGATAATCCTTGATTTACAATGGTTTTGTGACCATCCAAAGTTACAACGGCACTGAAAAAAGTGATTTATAACTGCTTTTCACATGACCATTGCAACATCCCTATGATCACATGATCAAAATTCAGATGCTTGGCAGCTGATTCATATTTATGACGGTTGCAATGTCCTGAGGTCATGTGATCACCTTTTGCAACCTGCTGAGAAGCAAAGTGAATGTGGAAGCCAGATTCATCTAACAACTGTCACTAACTTAACAACTGCAGTGATTCACTTAATAATTGTAGCAAGAAAGGTCACAAAATAGATAAAAAATTCACTTAACAGATGTTTCATTCAGCAACAGAAATTTTGGGCTCAGTTGTAGTTGTAAGTCAAGGATTACCTGAACTGGAGTTGAGGTGACTTGGGCTGATTCAGCATTGCTTTTCTTGCATTTCTTTAGCTCATATAAGAAGTTCATAACATAATGTGATACTTCTAGAATTATGAGAGGGAGAATAAATATGGTTCTTTCTCCCTTTATTTAATTCTGAGGAAGATTATACATTGTGGCTTGATGGAACTGCATTTTTCTATTTTTGTTTTTACTTTAATCCTGAAAAAACAACAACCCACTATTCAGTTATTCGATTTTTTTTATGGTTCATGTAACACATCAAATAAAAAAGGGAAAAGGAGAAGTCTCTGAATAAGACTTTTCTTATTGTACACATTTTAACATTTTTAACATCTTCGTAAAATGATCCTTATAAAGCTTCCAATTGGTCTGAACAGGAAAACTGGCCTAGCTTGTTTTGCAAAAATGTCATGGAATGAAAACAATTGTCACGAACTATTCTCCACAGATCACCTTTATGGTTATAGTGACCCATTCACATTTTTCCATATATTTAAATAAATAAATAAAACAGTTAATGATTTGGGGAGCACAGAGAAGTTTCCTGAGCAGGTTTCTTGGCTGGGTACTTTAATGGTGGATTCCAAGAAGCAAATATATGCCTTTCAGAAATAACTATGCAGTTCTACTACTACAGTACTCGGCATAGTAGCTTCTCATGTTTCATAGAAAACTTATTTTGAAACTGACAAGACTTTCAGAAACAGTCTTGTTTATGTTTCTGGAGTCTACAACAGCATCTTGGTTACCATCAATAAAAACCAAGGGTCTGATATTGCTTCCATTAATTTATCCTTATGGGAATTATGGAAGGAACTATAAATCATAAGTGTTGTTGTTTAAAATAGAAACTAACTTAAAAGTGCAGAGTAATGAAGTGCTTCTGATGGTCTTTACAGGCATTTTCTAAGGAGTTTCAAAATTTTGATATCCCTATCATTTTTATTTAAGGAAATAAATACTTTGAAAATTGTCTATCAACCTACTTCTGTTCAATTAATGTGTAGTTTTCCTTAGCCAATAAAAATTAATAAATTTTATTTCTTTGCCCTTGAATAATGTCAGTAATAAGAACAGTTGAAATCTGAAAAATTCTCCTTAGTATAAAAACACTTTTTGTTTCATTGCAATTAATTTTGAAAACCAGAACAATATTGATAGTTGCATTATACAGAACCCACAATAGGGGAAAACTAAATGTGATCAATACAATTAATGTTTATCAAGGTAATTTGATAGTTTACTTTTAAACATAAGGTAGAGAACATAGATGTTTTGAGCTCGGCATGTAAAAACATTGATGAATCATTCTCTAGCACATTTCCAAATATATCATTAAAAATATCCCCAAATTTTCAAATTTAGATTTCAAAAACTATCAATCAAATATAAAATATGCTGAAAATATAACCTTTTACAAATAATAGCCTGAACTGAAAAAGACAATGTTGTATATTTTAAAGCAAAGCTCTATTGTTATCTTGCCCGCATTAATTATAATCAAGTTATTTAATCCTTCAATTGATCTACCTCAAAATCCAATGTCCTATTCTTTACCTCTGTCATGTTGACACTCAAAAATATATCCCAGCGTTTGATTATGCAGCTGGCACAAATATTTCTAATACTACATGCTTACACTAGGTCAGGGGTGTCAAACTTGTAGCGTCACATTATCATCACATGATGTACCATGACTTCCCCCCCTTTGCTAAACTGGGGGTAGGCATGGCCAACATGTGACGCATCCAGGCCATAGGCTGCGAGTTTGACATCCCTGCACTAGATGTTGTCAACAAAAATAGCGACCTCAACCAAAAAAAAAAATTGGATGTGTACCCTGGATGGAATTAACAGTGAGGGCTTTTCTTAATTTAAAAGATTAAAAAGCCTGTAAAAATAGAATTTAATCAGTGAAATTCCAAGAGAAAAAAATAAACTAGTCAGAATTCATGTATTATTTAAAAACAGTTGCTTAACATGTCTGAATAATGAGATATGCCATTGAAGACACTATGATAAATTGGTGTACCTTGCCTTGAAACTCATACCTAATAATGCTCAATTTCTTGAATTTCTTGGAGCACGCTGAGACCGAGTGAAGAACTGGGGACCGTTACCCGGGGGTGTGTCCTCACTTTTTCAACTCGGTCTGCAAAGCTATGAGACTAGAGACTACCCATCCTGGATTCTCCCTTCGGCTCATTAAATCATCCGGACATCAGATTATTCTGGCGATTATCTCTGTCTTTTTCAAAGAGGTCTTTCTGGGCCACTTTAAAAAAATTTATAGCAATATCCCTCAGGCTATTTCTGTTGCCTTTTACACATTGATGCACCATCAGGATTCAGATCAACAAAAATTATTCCCAGTCATATAGTGCTCAAAATATTTGGGGAAAAATATCATTGTTTTTTTCTTTGGTTTTTACAGAATCCACAGAATACCAGCAAACACATGCATTGCCAAATCTGTATTTCTGTATCTTTTGTAGGATTGATATTGATTGTAAGTTATTATATGAAATTTGTTACATATGGCTCTTTAAGAACCAGCCTATATATGAGCATTAAACATGAATTTCAGATGAATAAAAATGAAGAGCTGATTAGTTTCATTTTGGCAAGGATCTTCTTGCATAATAGAGAACGTGTGTCTTGATCTGATATTCATATATGTCTGATTGATTTATATTTCATCAGGCCATGTAATCGCCGATAGAATTGTAAAGTGAGCTGCTTCTCTGAGAATGTTAATCGCTATGATTTTAATCCTTGCAGTCCCAATGCAAAATAAAAATTAAAACATGGGGAGTGTCTTTTGGTGGCAGTTAGATTCAGGTGGGGTAGTTCTCAATTACTTTGGGGTGTTTGTTTAAAAAAATATTCAGCTTGAATATTTCTATAAATCTACATTATATTAATGTTTTCAAGATAAATGGTCTGGAAACATCTTTTCACATTTTAATTCAATTTTTACAAAACTCAAAAAGAGAAATAATGGGGATTACTTCCAGATGACATCATGGCGCTGTCAGATGTGAAGAGCAGGTCTCTGTGTTCCCATGCTGAGTTCTCCCTGTTGGAGGGCTCCAAAAAGAGCTAAAGCCACCCTGAATGGAATTAAAAATAGAATCAGATAATCTGGAACAGTGGTCGCCAACCACTGGGCTGGGGACCACTGGTGGTCCATGAGAAAATTTGGGTGGTTCTCAGAGAAATATCCCCCACAAAGCACCCCCACAAAGCAATTAATCCAGGCTGGGCGGAAACACAAGGCTGCACCGCCCATATGGGCTGCCCACCCACTGGCCCCCACCCTTCAGCCGAGTGCAAGCCTTATCTTGAGTAGAGCCAAGTGAGCTGGAACTGGAAGGTAAGACCAATGGTGGGAGAGGGAAATCTGCCCTGGGGTGGCTTGCTGACACTGGTGGGAAAGTCGGTCCCATATTCCAGAGCTGCAGTAGTCACAGGACTGGCCCTTTGGTGATTCCGAAGCAGCTGCAGGGTACACCGGCCTGCCATGGACTGGAGGAGCAGCTGCTCTGGGATGACCAAAGGGCCAGTCCTGTGACAGCTGTAGCTCTGAAATATGGAACCAATTTTCCCACCAATGTCAGCAAAACACCGTCAGTCAAAATTCATATTAGTGGTGCACAGGATTTAAAATTATGAGTTTGGTGGTCCCTGAGGTCCAAAAGATTGGTGACCCCTGATCTGGAAGATACTTTTGAAAGAGAGATAGGGGCTTGGGTGGATATTTTGGAGACCTGGCATCTTAGAAGGATAGAGATGGGAGAAATATAGTCTGAATGGTGAAGATACAGATGATGATTGAGATAAAGATCCAAGAGAGGAGTATGGGAGAAAAATCAGAAAACGAATAAGAATTGAAGTATTAAAATGGACGAGAGATGATGGATGATGGATGATGGAATGAATATATATATTTTATATATTTTTATTTTATATATTTTTTCTATATTTTCCTCTAAGGATGGCCTGATCAGAAATCTGAAAAGAGGTAGAAACAAAAATATACACTGAATACCATACATGTAAATACCAGCGAAAACTTAAGAAAACAAGTTGATATATAAAGTAATAGTTAGATGGAAAGATTGGAGGTTGAAAAAGGGTATTATGATTTAATTTTTTAAATAATAGAATATAAGTAATAATTTGATGGAAAAGATTGGAGGGTGAAAGGTGATATTACCATGTATGCTTATAACATCATTGGCATGAAATTGGAATATTGAAATATTGAATAACAACTTTTTAAAAAACCATGTATATTAATACCAGTTTGATTAGTATAACAATTATTATGATTATCATTATTCATGTTTGTATCAAAATGAATTATAACCAGAGGCCATACTGCTTATGTATTGATATTGATGTTTATTTAAAAATAATGTTTATTTAAAAATAAAAATCTAATAAAACAGGGAGGGAAAGAGAAATAATGAGTTTAACTTTCACACAATCATAAGAACCAATGCAATATCAGCTCTAGCTTCTAAGGTCTCAAGACAGTGAAACATGCCAGACTATCTTGATATAAATTTGTGATCTTTCAACTGGCTACCCATATTTGTGTTTATTGTATTCTGAATCTGGGAAAATGAAAGTAGTGTGTTTCCCCTTTTCCTGTTATGAGTTATGATGATAATCTAATCTAGGACACTAATTTACTTCTATCATTGCAAGTCCAATATTTTGGGAGAAAATTATTTGTCCTGAGAAATCTATTTTTATCTGTATCTTTTTTATCTTGGCTGATCTAAAAAAGCTAAAGAAATGGACCAGTTTGTATTTGGATGAAAAAGTGGCAGGAAATGCCAGCTATAGGTTACTAGGGAAGGAAAAAAGTATGCTGGAAGAAAGTAATTGAACCACTGTGATATTGTGCATGAAAGCTGATGGACATGTTCATGAAATCACCAGAATCCAGCTTAATTCAAAGGACACTTTATCTTACCTTATTTGTATCAAAGCTGTAGAATACATAACATTTGGGATGCAGTGAAGTGGGAAAAAATTACAGATTATCCAGAAGAAAATATCTGCACACTGTCAACTAATGTGAAGTATGTGTTCTGTTGAGAGTTTTTAAAACTATAATAGAGACTGTGTGTTTTTATTTACCTGAATATCACTGTTCAGCAGTCTTCCCAAACTGGGGCTCTTTACTGGGATTGCAATTTATAGATTTTTCCAGCCATCATAGTTTAGATGCTGTTGGCTTGTATTTCTGGGAATTAAAAGACCCAAAACATCCAGAAAGCACAGGCTGAAAAAAGCTACTCTTGTGAGACAGCATTCAATATGGACAGAAATTTGAATGGTAGTTCGTATGAAATAACAAAGTGCTGACCAGTATCCAAGCTTCCCATTAAGGAATAATGCTTAATATTTTACTATGAATTGTACCATTATGGGAGAGCAGAGAAACATAGGATGTCACATAGGCATGTTTATTCAATTTGGACAATTTTCATAACTTTTCAAATAGTAGTACTAAACACTTTTTCCTCATGCTTAATACAATCATCCATCCAATTCTTAGAGAATTTATAAAAATATTTTTCATCCAAGAATCCTGATAAAGGTAAAAATAAGTGTTTTATAGCAAACAATGGACAGACACACTGGTTAAGAGTACACCTTATAGCATCTCTTGTACCTTTAAATGTATTCTTGAACTGAGATAAGAGAATACCAGTTCAGGTAAGAGACTCCCATTTACAATCAATGCATGAAGAATAATTAATAATCCTTCCACTCTTTAGATTATGCTCTAATGTCAACTAGCAGCCAGTTATCTTTGAATATAGTATGACTGTTAGCAGTTGGAAGCCTTCTCGTACATGTGAAGAATTTCTTGAAAACATGTATTGTCAAACTCCATTTTGTAGACAATCATACCACACTTGTGGAGATTAGTTTTTCAGTGATATCACCACTATTACTAAGACAGCATAGGGGTGCTGAATTCTACACTGGAATGTACCACCAGAAGAGAGCTACAATTATGGCTTCTTCTGGCTCCTCTATTTCTTTTATTACCATTCTATCCTCACCTTATTTGTTGAAAAGAAAGGGAAGAAAAAAGAAAGGAAAAAAAGAAAAGAAAAGAAAAAGAGCCACTGGGCAAATGGATAAAAAAGGGAGAAAATTTGATGACAAAAAAGCTGTGGTAGCCATATCAACAGCAAATTTTAAAGGTACAATGAGATCTACAGTTGTCCACCTAACTCCTCCTGAAGAATTAAGTTTATAGTAAATGTCATGCATTCTTTAGGAATCACACATTTTCACTTCTTTTTTTTCTTTTCTTTTTGTATTATATTGCCCACTTTAGACAGGCAGTTTAGTTTCGTTTTTTTTTTAAGGTGCAGAAGCATCTTTCAAATCTACATGGCTAACTTCATAAACAAATCCCATACATTTAGTTTGACATGCTTTACATTTACATTGTTAAACCACCTTTGTTAAAATGACAGAACTGAAACTGGTTACTTTCAACGAGATAAAAAGTACTTTCAGTTCTCCCATAGCAGTGCAATTTTATATGTTTGAAAATTGTAGATCTTAACAGTATGATGCTATAGAACAGTAAAGAACTGAGTAACATAGTAATTGTCTGGCTTGAGTAAGTTTAAATCCATGCTAATGTAAAACTCACATTCCAGGCAGCCACCATTTTACCCCATGTCTGCAACCCCATTATACACATTTTTTCAGCTTGACTCAGCTTTTTGTGTGCGTGAATTATAACTTTAGAAAAACAAATGGGATGATTATTTGTTTAACTTACTAGATTTTCAAAATTAAAACCAAAAAACAACACATTTGAAAGAAGTTGCTGCACCTGCAAAGACACTCTTTAAGCTTACTATGAAATACAAAAAAGTGCACTCTTCTATATCTACATATAAAACATATTAGAAACAAAACTTGTGTAAAATGTTTGCTGTGCAAACTATAAAAAGTCAGTCAGACCATTGTCTTTCCTAATATTTTAGGTAAGGTCCTCTTGCTTCCTATTGCAGAGAATCACTGTTATCCAAGACCAGCCCACTGATATTTGTAGTTGAGAGGTCTGTTCCATCATCTTCAGTGCTGTCTACAGATTCATCCTCACTTTGCCCTGCCATCATGACTTGCTGAACAGCCAAAGTGGTACCATCAGATGAAAGCGATTGGAGACTGTCTACATTCATGTTGACGGGAGCTGTAATTGTTACAACAGCTCCTAAAAATGGAGGTCCAATTGGAAAAAACAATTAGATATTTTTAAAAATCTACAACTCATTACTGAAATATGCATTGCATCTTATTTTCTAAAATAAACTAAAAAAGTTTTTAGATTGCATGCTGTAAATTTAACAATTGGAAATGAATTACAATTGCACGTACCATAGTCCATTATTTTCCTCAGTAAGCCACTTTAACGACATTGTGTTTATTTTGTTTTAGTCTAGTTTGGACTAAATAAGAATTCTGAATTTTGGAAATGTTAAGGCACTACCACCTTAAACTAGCATTACAAGATTTGCAACATCTGGAGCAAATATTTACATATTAAATGGGCATCAATAGTTCAGCTAATATATGAAAGCTGTGACATATGGAGTTTTTACTTGTGGAGAAGCCCCATTAAATACCAAATACTGATATTTAGCTTCAATCCACTGCTATAAATCTACTAGTCTGATCATGGAAGGAAAAAAGTTCCACTTTAGCAGATATTAATCATTTCCATTTTCTATGCAGTCCATGAAAATGTATTTAGTAAATTAAACTTATACTAATTCATTATTTCCAGTAGGTTTTATACAGAGGAATTGAATACATTTACAAAGTGTCTCATCAATCAGCAAAGTAAAAAATAGAGCAGTTTTTTAAAGTTACTTAATGAAGTAAAGCATCTGCTTACCATCTGACATAGTAAGTTCATTTGATTGATGATGAGCTACTCCTGATGCAATGGAGTCTGGCCAGAATCTCTGAACTGGTCGGTTTTGGGCTGTTTTCTTCTTTGTTTTTGGTGTTTCAGAACAGCTGGAATCCAACATTGGCTGGAGAATTCTCCTTCTAGCATTGATAAACCTAAACAAGGGTAAAATGTAAACTTCCAAAATAACTATAGAACTCTATGAACAAATTATCATGTTCCTTTCTGTGGCTATGCTTTGCAGATTCCTCCACACCCTCAGAGGAGCCTTGTCCTGCAAAAGTAGCCAAAGGGCATCCAGATTGGTCAGTTTGGGCAATGTGTTAAATCCTCCCAGTTGCCTGGGAATTCTCTCATCATGTACCAAAGATCTTTCAAACTGGGTTTCAGCAAACAATCTGAGAAAGGCATTCACCCACTTAAGGCATTCTGGTCAGTATCACAATGCATGTTGAAGCTTGGGCCTGCTTTTTTTTCAGACTATTTCAGAAAATAAATGTGCAGTTTAGAAATGATAAAGGGATACGGTGGCTTTGCGTTAAGATGCTGGGCTTGTCAATCAGAAGTCTGGTGATTTGAGACTCAAGCAATGTGTGACAGGGTTAGCTCCCATTCTTGCCTCAGCTCTTGCCCACCTAGCAGTTCAAAAGCATGCAAATGCGAATAGATAAATAGGTACCACTTCAGTGGGAAAGAAACAGCATTCTGTGCACTTTGGCATATAGTCATGCTAGGCACATGACCACGGAAGCATCTTCAGACAATGCTGTCTCCCTTGACTAAGAAATGAAGATCAGCATCGCCCCCTAGAGCCAGATATGACTAGATAGGAGAAATCTTTACCTTTATAGAAATTATGGTGGTGAATTGAGACCTAGCTTAAAATTCAAAATGTCCATTTCATCACAAGTGATTTTGTTAGCTCAACCTACTTCAGAGAATTCCAGGGGGTAAAATATGATGAGATCTACAATGTACATTACTTTGAGTTTCCCAGAAGGAAGATGAGATAGAACTATAAAATAATTCTGTTCAACTTACCAGTTGTTAACTTGTAGTAAGGTAAGATTTGTTTGTGCTGCTATCTGTTTTTTCTCATCTTCTGTTGGATATGGATGCTACAGAAAGAAATATTTTCATTATTCTTTTTGAATTAAATTTATTTTTAAATAAATTGCATTAATAATTAAAACAATGTCTTAGTTTCTATTACAACTACTCATATCCAATTTTTATAACCATCTGTCCAAAGAAGTTTATAAATAATATAGCAATTACAACTAAGAATACGCTACACATTATTTAAAGCAAACATTCTCAGAGATTCATCTATAGGGGAGGGGTTGCCAGCAAAGGGGGCTCTGTGGTGGGAGTCACCTTTTTTACTCTTTTTTTCAGACATATTTCCCATAAGGCAATCAGTGGTAAAAAGTTTCAGGTTTCCCTTACAGTATTAAAAAAAAAAATTAAGAAGAGATTTCACATTCCACAAGCCTTGATAGTGCAATAGAATTATTATTTGTTACAGTTGCATATGTGTATGTTGCTCTGTTTAAAACAGATATATCCAATCCATTCTGTTCAAACAGACATTTTCAAGTCTACTGTTATAAAAATGGCTAGTATGCCAAGTACATAAAAGTAAAAAGTTGAGGATATACTTATTTTTTTTCTACTGTGCTGAAAAAGTTGGAAGTTAACATCTCAACTTACTAGAGAGACAGTAGAATTCTGTTTCCATAATACATTTGATGACATATATCATTTGATTACGGATATAATAAAAGTTGTACAATACTGTTTCCTTTAATCAAAACCAACAGCACTATATAGTACCTATGGATTAAATGTTATAATTATATAGACAGAGCATGTATGTAAAATAAAAAAACTTCTGGCAACATTTATATGTTTATATAAAGATTATATTTATATATATAATCTTTCAGTTCATGAATATAAAGATTATATTTATATATATAATCTTTCAGTTCATGAATACACTGATTATGACTATATAAATCACAGGATAAATGTGTGATCTTAAACTAACAACACATGGGGCTCCTTTTGAGTATGGAGTACATTTAGTAAAGTAAATCACACAACAATCTTGCTTTTGCATATAGCTAAACTTTTATACAGTGAATTTCTCCCAAACCCTGAGGAAGTATTTAGACTGACAGAAATTTAAATATAGCTCTCAAAAGACTACTGATTGAAGGAGCACATGACTTTTAAAAAATCCTTATACAAATGAAATAAAACCAGAAAATCACAAGTTTACATAAGAGCACTTACTGAACGTCTGATTCATCTTTAACAAATCAATTTAGCTTTTTTTCAAGTGGAGCAATAAAATAGACTGTAAAAAAATTCATTTAGGAATAAAGTGTTGTCCTTCATGAAATTGGTACAGGAGAAAATAGCCAAGAAAACAAAGAAATGGATCGTTGAATAAATCAATATAGAATTCTCACTCAAAGTACAAATGATCAAGCTTAAAATATTGATCAGTGTGTGAAATCCTAGAGGATGATCAGAGAAAAGACAGATGGAGTCAATTATGCAGCAATGTGTGCACCATTGGAAGATCTGAAGGAGCAAGCTGGGGACATGTCCTCCTGGAGAAAATGTGTCTGTGTCAGGGGTGGGCAATTAATTTCTGTCGGGGGTCACATGGAAAATCAGATCTGCGTTCGAGGGCCGAACCAATTTTATAAAAGGCCATTATAAAGGGCCCATTATAAAATGCAGCAAAATATATATATATATATATATATGTGTGTGTGTGTGTGTGTGTG